GACATAATCTTTGCAATGAGAACCGTGCACCCAGGCAGAGCCCTCCTGAAGTTGAGGTTCACTGTCGGCCTAGCAGGAGCTTAAATTGGGCAACTGGGAAACTAGATCATAAGCTCATGGGGAAAATTAAATAGGGCTGGAAGGGACCTCATGAGATCACCCAGTCCAGCCCCCTGCTCAAGGGGGATAGATCAAATCTCTCCTCACTCTGCTCTTCTGCAAACGAAACGATCCTAGGTCTTTCAGCCTTTCCCCATAAGTCACATTTCCCAGGCCTCTAATCCTTTTTGCCATTTTCCACTTGAAGGGTTGGGCCCCAAACTGGACACAGACTCCAGGTCAGGGCTCAGCCATGCTGAATAGAGAGGAAGAATCACTTCCCTTGATTTGCAAGAGACACTTACGATGATAACAACCCACGTGCCTTATTGGCAGCCTGCAAACAAAGCAAAGATGTGCTACTGTATTTTTATCTAAGATACTTAAAAGGTCCAGAAAAGGTTGGGGTTTTTTTTAGTTTGGTCATTTTTTGGGGTGGCGGGGTGTACGAGAGAGCGTTGGGTTTGTCTTTACCTTTCAAAATAGCAAGGATTCCTTGTTTTGCACTCAACACCAGGCTAGAAAACTGCATCTTTCATAAAAGGGCTATTCTTCCCATCCGCCTGTTGGACAGTTGAATTGAATGGATGAAAATGGAGGGGTTTTAAACAGTCTGAGTAAAAACCCCTCCCTTCCTTGCTATTTAAGTTTCACTCCCTTGACAGCTCTGATGGTATAGGCATCTTAATACTCTTGGGGTTTGTCTACATCACTTCTCCAAGACTTCTGGGTGTGCGATTCACAAGTGATCCCTTCCCTTCCACCCACACCCACCACCTCCCCACAAAACGAGGCCCTGGAGTTGCACTGAGGACAATCCCTGCTACCACTCATGGACTCCCCCGTGTGCTGGAGAGCGGCCGTGGACCGGCAGCCTCATTCATCAGCACCTCATTCCTATGTTTGCTACGTGCAGATTGGCAGAACATGCCCAAAATCAATGTTCGCAGGAGCTCTGGGGAAGTGGGGTCGCCTAAAATCTGGAGAAGTTGCCCCTAAAATCTTTCAGAAAAAAGCACAAGGCAGAAGCAACCTGTATTTTAATACAACATCAGAAAAACAAAACAAAAAAGAACCCACTGGTTTCATTTCTGTTTCCGAAAAAATAGGGAATCAAAAGCAGAGACTCTTCCCCTCCTCCCTGCACCAACCCTGCCCACAACCTTGGACTAATCTTTGGTTTGTGAGCATAAGTTACACTGGTTTGCCACTGCTTGTTCAAATTTTGTTTTGGCTACCACTCCACCAGGCAAGAACAGGACATTTCTGGCTTTCATTCAACTTTCAGTTCAGTGTTGCAATTTATTAAAGGACATTGTTCCTTGCACTGCCTCCACCTCCCTTGCTGTCACTAAATCGGCTGGAGCAGGAGCCAGGGAGCAAACCCACAGCAGCCCTGTGTCATGCATTGTTCCCAACACCATCGCAACCATCCCAGCGATGCTTCCATGCATTGTACCCAGCACCATTGTGACAATCCAAGCAATGCTTCCATGCATTGTACCCAGCACCATTGTGACAATCCCAGCAATGCTTCCATGCATTGTACCCAACACCATCGCAACAATCCCAATAATGCTTCCATGCATTGCACCCAACACCATCACAACAATCCCAGCGATGCTTCCATGCATTGCACCCAACACCATTGTGACAATCCCAGCGATGCTTCCATGCATTGTACCCAACACCATCACAACAATCCCAGTGATGCTTCCGTGCATTGCACCCAACACCATCGCAACCATCCCAGTGATGCTTCCACACATTGCACTCAACACCATCACAACAATCCCAGCAATGCTTCCAGGCATTGTACCCAACACCATTGCAACCATCCCAGTGATACTTCCTATGCACTTTCCAGCTGAGATGAAGGACTGATCTGAAGGTCACTGGAATAATCCCACTGACTTTGATGAACTAATCCCCTATTAAACTAACACCCTTGAGTATTAAAATGGTTCCACTATCCCCATCTTACAGTCAGAGTACTGTGAAGTGAGCATCAGGATTCAACTTGAGTTTTTTTGCAAGCTGCTATTAACTGACCATACCTTTGATTGGGTTTTGAAGATTTTGTCCTCAAAAGGCATCCCAGGCAGAATATTTCATGCAGTAAGTTCTTGCTTGGAGGATCCCAGGTGCCCCATCTTCCCCAGAGACCCCAGTCTAATTCTTCTCAGCTGCAGCATGAAAACATCTCTGCTCCCTCTCCACCCAGTCCCATACACTCCCTTTAAATCTTTCTACCTCACCTGGAACAGCCTGGAGGAAAAGGATCATGACAGCAGCAAAGAGCAGGTAAAGGATCCTCATGGTTGAAGGGCAGATCACACCGCAAGAAAGCAGCACCCAGGAAGATGGAAACAAGCAGACAGAGATGGGAAGACTATTGATTTATACAGGCTGGAGAGATTGCAAAATATTCCTGATGACGAGAGACCACTATCAGGTGCATTTCGACACTCCAGCAAACAGTGGCCTTGGGGAGAAGGTTCATCCTGGAGGCACCAGCAGCAGGAAAGCAAACAAAGCTTTTTATCGACAATATAAAAGCCACAGGCCAGAACTGAAGCCACTTCAGGTCACAAAGATCTTGAGGGAGAGAGGGCACAATTCAGTTGTCCTGTACTTATATTTCAGCCAGTGGTGACAGGAACGCAGTTCCTAGTCCCAGTTTTCTGTCTGTGGGTACATGGTACTTGCAGTATCGGAGTTTTGTGTGCAAAAATTCCCCATGAAAAAATCAGGACATTGATGTAAAAAAAATCACAAGAGTCTAAATAAAGGGTATATGAATACACGTTGAATTCCGTCCTTTGGATGTCATGGGGTCACTTTTTGAAACATTTCTCTAGAAACACATGTTAGAGACTTCAGGGTTGTTGGTTGTAGCCGTGTTGGTCTAAGGATATAGGCAGACCAGGTTCTTTGGGTAAATCTGGTATCTTTTATTAGACCAATTAAATAGTGGGAAAAAAAATGTTCCTTGCAAGCTTACGGGCACAAACGCCCTTCTTCAGGCATAGGAAGAGTTTGTTGGTGTTTGTGTGCTCTCCAAAATGCAAAATGCAGGTCTGCAAAATGCAAATATGAGAATGCAAAAACCTCGCTGCCATGCATGTGGATTTTCACAGACATGCGTTTTGCATTTTGGTTTCTACTCTACCCAGGAGAGCACACAAACACTGGCAAACTCTCCCTTGGCCTGAAGAAGGGTGTTAGTGCCTGAAAGCTTGCAAGGAACATTTCCCCCCCCAACTATTTAGTTGGTCTAATAAAAGATATCACATCTACCCAAAGAACCTGGTCTGCTGGAAACTTCCACTTTTATTTTAATGAACTCTCAGAGTCTCCTCTCATGAGCTGGGACTTGCTTTACTGGGAAAGAAACTCCGAGACTCATTGGGGAGGGGAGTTAGAGCACTCACATTGTGCCCTACTGGTTTTCTAGCTGGAGAGCTGAATCCCACTATACCTCCCCCCCCCCCCCCCCCCCCCCCAAGGAAATAATATATGTCTACTCTTTACAGGAAAGTAAGGAAGAGCACAGACAAGGATTTATTTCCCCCTTTGCAAGCTGCCTCTGTGGCCTTTTATTTGCAAGCTGGAGATGGGCCAGCATTGACAAATACAGCCAGGCCAAATGGAAGAAGCATCAACATCAAACAATGCAGATACGCCTTTTCCTGGCTGGACACAGGAACACAGGGCAAAGGGCTGGATGGGACCTCCTGACTTAATCAGAGATCAGGGCAAGCAGGTCAAGATTGCACCTGGATTTGTGGGGATCGACTTGGGGGGAGAAAAAGAGAAGCAACAGCATTTCAGAGGCTTCTTTCCGGTTTTGAAGGCTTTATTTTAAAATAGAAATATGGGTAAAACCATCTCTATACTGCATTGAAGGCCAGCTGGGAAAAGATGGTGATTCAACACTTCTATGTAGCTAGATTATTACTAGGTACTTAGGAAGGCCAGACTATTGAATGGCCACCATGTTTCTGCTGGATGAAGCCAAAATGGATACCCACTGCCAGTCAAGTTGAGCTCCTCTGGCAGCAGCCAGTATAATTGCTCAGAGGACTGGCAACCTTGTCCACATACATAATCAATTAACACTGCAAGCTATACAGTGGTAGTCCAGGCACATCCGTACTCATCTCTGCCTTGCTTGAAGGCTGTGTTGACGTCTGGCCCTTGGGCGGGAAGCTGCCCAGTGACTCAGCTACCTTGAATCTCCAGGGTTTTCAGAGCCTGCTGTTCACAAATCCCGGCCTGTGCTTTACATACTAGACATTGGTCCCCTGAATGGGGGAAGTGGGAGGCTGGCAGGGAAATTAATATTGAGACCTCTCACTTGGACTGTGATCCAAAGCCCAAGGTCATGGTGCATTTTTAAATTGACTTCAGCAGACTTCGGTTGGCCTAAGGGGCATGGGTTTTAAAGGTGATTTGCTTTATGTGGGAAGGGTTCTGCATGTCTGGAAATCAGGCCTTGTGCTGAAATGTCTACCCTGTGGTCACATGTAGACACCTGGAGTAAGCTGCAGTGGCAATGGCTTCAGTGAGGTCTGGATAAACCCAGGCAGGCACTTTGGGTACTTACATGGGTTGCTGGCCCATGCCAAAACCTGTGCCGTGACATCTTCATTGCTATAGGTGACCATGACTATGCTTTCATGACACTGCCAGGTACAGAGTACATCCCGCCCCTCAAGCATGGATGAAGGTGACTGACTTTAGGCCTCTCATTTTGATAATTTGTGGGTCTTTTTGATGTGTCCATGATCACAAGTGGATGTAGGGCACTTAAAAGTCCACTGGCTGCTCAGGGGTAGAACAAGCTGCCCTGCCCTGCCCTGCCCTTTATGGGTGTGTCACCACTGCAGTTGCCTAGCCGGGGCTCTGCTAACCTTGTATCTATGGCAGAGCCCAGAACAAACTGCCAAACCCATCCAAGAATGGGAGAGGTGCTTGGACATCTCTCCCAGGCTGATCTCCAAATTACCATAGCCATCCTGCTAGCAATATCTAAGATAGTCTCCTTAAAACAAGCTTGGGTGTGTCTATGCAAGGGGCATCATAGCAGTGACTGCATTGCAGCTATAGCTTTTGTCTCCTGCCCAGCTATCTGTAAGACACTGCGTCTTGAAGACAGTAGTCATTGACCTTGGTGTGCTGAACACCCTGAGTGATGCATTTTAATCCCCTGGATTTTCATTCAGCCTCCATTGAAATCAATGGAGAGTCTCTCATGTAATTCGGTGTATTTGGATGGGGCCCTGAGTGAGGCAAGACACTGCCTTACAGAATTCATTGAGTGTTAGAAAAATAACCATGCCCATTCTTCTTGTTTTAAGCCTGTGACTTATTGACAGAAGATTATGTTCATACTAGCTCAGAACAAGTTTTTCATATGAGCCTGTCTCTGTGTTGGTGGGTCCTGAGTCTCAAGGACCCGTGGAGCTTAGGACTTGCCAAACTAGAACACACTCAAAGCCCATAAACCATATTTCTGTGGTTATTAGATGCCTTTAGATGTAAGATACCCACATCTTATGACTCGATCAAAAAAAACTCCATCAAACAAAGACACTTTTACAAGGACCCAGATTCTAGCTGTTGCATCGAGAAATTTTTGCATTTTAAAAACTCAAATTTAAGGCTCAGAGCATGTTAAGAAGAAATATTTCATTTTAAGAAGTGGAGGAATATGGGAGTGCAGCATCCCATCTCTGGCAGTGGTCAGGTCCAGTTGTTTCAGAGGACGCATGTGACCCCCATGGTAGTGAGAAGGGGCATAATAGGCGTCCGTGAAGTTACCTTCCCGATTCCTAACACAGAGCCATGAGCTCTGATAATATTAACTGTTAAGCTGCTGGCTGTGCTTGTTCTTGGTCCCGCTGAGTCTTATCAAGGATCATAGAAAATGGGGTTGGGAGGGGGTCATTTAGTCCAACCCCTGCTCAAAGCAGGACCAGCCCCAAATTGTTGGCCTCGGGGCAGTGAGTGCCACAGTCTGATTGCCCAGTGATTATTTCCATTTAGCAGAACCTGCCACCTCTCCATGTCACCAAGCACTCCTTTCTTCTGGTGTTGTGAGGCAGAGACAACATACATGCTTTTTAACCTGAGGGTCCTTTTAATATGCATAGAAATAGCTTGTCCTTCTACTGGTGAAAAATCCCTGTTTCTTCATATAACTTAAAGCATTGATGCCCATGGGTTAGATAAGCTGTGCCAGGTTGGCTGTGGGCCAGATCCCATCTGTAGGCTCAATCCAGCTGCATGGGAATGGTCTGGATCAGGGTGGATGCGGCCCACCAGGCCAGTCTATCCGGCCTGCGGGGCTCCTTTAAAAATTTAGGAAATTAATATTTATCTGCCCCTGGCTGCCTGTCATGCAGTCCTCGATGGCTTGTCAAAACTCAGTAAGTGGCCCTCTGTCCGAAATAAGTGCCCACCCCTGGTTTGGATGGAGCTTGATCCAACTGCATGGGCTGGGATAGCCTGGTTGATCCAGCTGTGTGAGAATGGCCTGATACAGCGACGTGGAAATCTGGCAGCATGAGCAGTAGCAGTGTTAATTAGCACTGCTCCCTTGTTGCCAAATTTTCCAGACCCATGGGAAGCTGTGGGTGAGATGAGATGGCTCCAGCCTGGGGCGGAGCACCCCTGAATTAACATCTTGGTAGATGGAGAGCAGGGATAAAGTCAGTCTCGGCATGGGTGATGTAAGTGCACATCTGGAGCGAGTTGCACTGCATGCTTCAGCTGCTCTGCACTGCACAGCGACCATGAACCTGTGCACAGCAAAGCAGCTGGAGTCCACAGGGGCATGTCACTTCAGAAATGGAAGTGCAGTGGCTCTTACAGTTCAGATTAAGTTTAGTTACCCCTATTGCAAACCCACCTGTGTTAGCTGTCATCATACAGATGAGACCATTCCAATTCTTCATCTGTTGCCCCTGGCAACTTATGCACCAGGATCTCTTGGTTGTGTGCTTGCACAGCACCTACTATAATAGGGTCTTGATCCATTGCTGGGCTCCCAGGGGGCTTTGCTATTACTCATTACATATATTGCAGGAGCCCATAGCGCTTAGCACCGTGAAAGTGCTGCCCAAGCACCAGAATCACCCCCACAGACTGACTCCAGCGCTTCCCTCTTGTCTTATCAGCATCTTTTTCTGTCTATTGTTTTTTCCTTTTGATATCATCGATGCCTTTTTCACTGGGTGTTCACTTCTAGGCTTTGCAGTGGCAGTCATTGTGCTGCAGCCTGGGAGCCGTGTGAATGGGAGCCATAGGAATGTAAGGCTGGATGGGATCTCCCCTGGTTATTGTATTCGGA